TTTCGAAAAACGCATTATCATCACCATTTGAGGGCAAGTTGCCTTTATCTCGAGCTTCATCTAAATCAGATTGGTGTTGAACATCGGTCGATGAAGTAGGTCGAAGCTGATTTGTCACAGAGCAAGTTGCAGCTAAGTTTTAGAGATACCGGTATATATAGGGTTGCTTCCAATCGGTTGTGCTGTTGAGTCGTGAAAGGCGTTTTTCAAATCGTTGTCGTTGAACATTATTTGGAGCTTTTGTATTCAGAGATCCGCATGCTCCATTTGCGAACCTCTTTCAATTCCCCCTGTAGATCACCGGCTTCTGAAAATGAAAATGTAAGAAGTTGTGACGATCGCTGTGATCAATGTGTCGCCAAAATAGTCATACCAAAAGATTCTGCATTTTCGTCTGTAGAAGAATCAAGCGAGGAATCAAGTGTCTCCATTTCTCCTACAAGAGATCCAATCTCGGATCCAGCACTCGATACCAGCTCGTCCTCTGTAGGTTCAATATAGGTTTTAACGCCATCTTTGAAATCTGTGATATCGATCACATGAGCTGAAACAGATTAAGAAACATGTAGATAAATATATACATAAACATGTAAACCAAAAACTATACCGTTAGAAGTGCTGGGTTGATCCGAGGTTTGATCGAAGATATTGTCAGGTTTTTTACGCTTTTCACCAGCTTTTGGTTCCGGTTTCAAATCTGATCGCTTTGAGAACATTTCGCTCAAACTGATTTGCTTTGTTTGTGTCTTGTCAACCACCTTTCTGTGGATCTTTGCATAATGCTTGGCATAATTAAATGTTATCACTTGGAAAGTGGATGATCCAGACAGCGAGTAAAACAGCATCACGAGTTTTTTTGGTTGACAAAAAGGGCAGCAGGTTCCAAATTTCATTGTGCCGCCGTCAATTGTACGTTTTATTTCGAACTTTTCTGGCGATGCATCAGGATCCCCTCAGCTTTTGTCCATTGAGATAACCGTTGTTGAAAGTTTTCGGAAATCAGATTAGCTTGGTCCTTACTGAGAGAGCTAGAAACTATCTGCTTTGGCACAGATTTGGCTTTATTTGGAACTTTTTTATCGGGCGTTCCGCATACCTCTGCGCTCTGAGCCATTTATTTGCTTTTCGGACAAGACTTCCCCAGTCACTGGACTGCACCAGATCCCGATAGCTAATCAAAGCAGCTCGGTGGCATGGGAGTAACTGTGTAGACTTCTCTATGCGTTTTAAATCATCATCTGACAAAGATTTCAAGGCCACGTAGCTGTCATAACCGGTATCACGCAACAACTTTTGTACTGGATAAGGTATTGGACCATGAGTTTCCAGGACATTCCAGAATGAAATTAGCGGACGATCAGGTACAGCGTCGAGTACAGCTTGCGGTGGCGATTTCGAAGAAGAGTTATGAATCTGCCAAGAAATTGTAAGTAGTGAGTCAGCATCGTAATCCTTGTACTAATCAAAACTTACCATTTTTGTTACAATATTTTGATTACCCTTATCACAACAATCTTCAAGTCACTAAAGTTCACAAAGACATGTGAACATGAATCTAAACTAAAAAAAATCACGAAAAATCAGATTTGTTTGCCAATTTTGTGAACATTCGCATTAGCGCGCGTAAATGTCCAAATCCAAATCAAAACAAAAGCAACAGCCGAGTCTCGCTATATTGAAATACAGTATTCACAGTAAAACTTTCAAATTCCGATTTTTCATTTTAACTTTTTTTAAACTCAGTTTGAAATATGAGTTTAACACTAGGTTTAAGATGATTCCAGTTTTATTTTTTGCTGTGCTGCTCATTTCTATTAATCGAGCTTAGATGTCGTCGTATTTCTCTAACAATTCCATCGTTGGAAACATTGTTAATCATTGAATAATTGAGTAATTCCAAAGTAATTCCTAAAATTATTCAAGTAATCGTAGTAATTTCGGTAATCGAGAGTAATAAAAGTAATTTCAAAGTAATAAATTAATTTTAATTAATTGAAAAGTAATCAGAGTAATTTTCGGTAATCTGACTGGCACTGACCGGTAATTAACGCTGGTAGAAACCCCTCGTTTCTCCCCAATAGTCTATTTCTGCGTCCGAAACCTCGAACAGGTTATGGGCCCAGACGGAAGCTCCTGATTGGAAAATTAAAGTGTGAAAGTTTGCTGTTTTTTCTCGAAGCGATGGAGTGGGCAAAAATTGCCAAGTTGACCAATTCGAACTATCAAGCATGGTCGTTCTCTGCGAAAGCGAAAGGAACCAGGTACTCCTCCGGCACACCGATGACGGACGCTTGGAGGGACGGCGATGAGAAGAAGTTGGCCACGATTCATTTGATGGTGGATGAGAGCCAATATAGACTGATTCGTGACAAAACGACCGCGAAGGACACGTGGACGACTCTGAAGGAGCACCACGAGAAGACCACGTTAGGGCACCGAGGGGACTTCGGCGTATAACGAACCTATCTGGCGGAAATTGAGAAGCAGTACGCATGTCTGGAAAATTCCGGATTTAAAATGAAGGAATGCCTTAAAGTGGCGCTGATATTGCGAGGACTTCCGGAGTTGTTCAATCCTCTGACAACGGCTTTGGAAGCCCGGAACAAGGATGAGCTCACTCTGGAACTAGTGGACGAAGCAGATAAACTTCGAAAACCGGTCCAGTTTCGAAGAACAAGCGCTACGAATGGGTGGAGCTAGTACGTCGCCGAAAAATGTCGTTTACTATCATTGCGGCAAGGCACATCGAAAGCGAAATTGTAAGGCGTTTCTGGCGGAGAGCAGTGGTAAGGCAGAAAGAAAAGGCCAAGGCCAAACCAGTGCGCACGACTCAAGATCCACGTTTATGGTGCGGTCTGGTAAGCATGGGTGATTGATTCGGGCGCAACGTCACATGTGTACGTCCGGAGATTTTGACCGCCGACGGCAAAGTTCTTCGTACGGCAGGCGTCGCTGAGTATAAAATCGAGTGCGTGAACAGTCGTAACGAAAAAGTGTCGGTTACGTTGACCGGTTTGATTTTTGCTCCGGGACTAGAAGGCAATTTAATTTCTGTCACGAAACTCGCAGAAAAAGATGTTCGTGTGGAATTCGACGAGGATCAGTGTCGGTTGGTATATGACGGGTCGGTAATTGCGACGGCAGATCGCGCGGCTGGCCTGTATCGACATGGTGGAAAAATCGATGCTGGTAAGTGATAAGCAGCACAACGCCGACTGTTTGCACGCGTGGCATCGAAGACTAGGTCACAGAGATCCGGATATGATTGGTGAGATTGTTTGGCCTCTGGGTTGAAAGTCAAGGATTGAGAAATTCGGCGGACTTGTGAGTGTTGCGTCGGAGGGAAGATGGCACGGCCATCGTTTCCCCAAGCAGCCGAGAAAAGGTCAAAAGCGGCATTAGATATCGTGCCCAGCGATGTATGTGGTCCTATGACGACATCGCCAGGCGAGTGCCGGTATTACATGACGATGATTGATGATCATAGCCGCTATGTTGTCGTCTATTTCTTGAAGGAAAAGTCCGAAGTTACCGACAAGATCCGTGAGTATGTGAGGTTCACTGAAACTCAATTCGGGCGGAAACCGAAGGCCATCCGTTCAGACCGGTGGTGAGTATACCAGCAATGCCATACGCAAGTTTTACGCAGAAGAAGGAATTAAGGCTGAATTCACCGCTGGACATGCCCCACAACAGAACGGCGTAGCTGAAAGAAGAAATAGGACGTTAAATGAGATGGGATTGTGTATGCTGTTGGATGCTGGTTTATCTCGTCGTTTTTGGGCAGAGGCTGTGAATACCGCGGCGTATATCCAGAATCGACTGCCATCATCGACACCTTACGAGATCTGGTTCGGCACCAAACCCGATTTGCAGCACTCGAAGGTGTTCGGTTGCAGTGCATACGTGCGGATTCCGCCACAAAAGAGAAAGAAGTTTGAAGGGAAGTCAATCAAAATGACCTTTGTCGGATACGCATCGGACAGCAAAGCCTATCGTTTGCTGAATAAGTCTACTAGTCAAATAGTTATCAGTCGTGACGTACGATTCTTGGAGCTCGGAAGAGGATAAGAACGTGAGAAATGGAACCATCCGTAACCTATCAGGTAAACTCTCTCGCGTTCCGATAATCAACCGGTTCGTACAACAAAAGGAGAAGGATAGTGACTCATCGGCAGATGGACAACAATACCAAAGTCTGGTCGGAGCTTTGTTGTACATCGCTGTCAATACGAGCCCGGACGTTGCGATCTCGACTTCCATTCTCGGGCGGCGGGTCACCAAACCAACAATATCGAATTGGAACGAAGCGAAGCGGGTGCTTCGTTACCTTCGAAAGGTACGGCAGACCACGAGCTACACCTGGGTGGTGGTAGCAACCTTCAAGTGGAGTGTTTCGTGGACGCAGACTGGGCTGGCGAAGTCGACAACAGAAAGTCCAACACTGGATATATTTTCAAGTTCGGTGAGGGACTCGGAAGCAGGAAGCAGACATGTGTGTCCCTTTCCATCACTGAAGCAGAGTACATTGCACTTCCAGAATGCTTGCAAGAACTGCAGTGGCTGCGTCGATTGGTAGACGACTTGGGCGAACATCTGCCGTCTCCTGAGCATTAAACCGTTAGAGGTGAAACGGACGGTCGCTCGAGCTATGTTGATATGAGCTGCTCATGGGTGACATCGACTGGCCTACATTGCTGGCACAGCTAAATCTGTACGCTCCCGAGAGACCCCTCCGTCAACGTGACATTCTATTTTTGGAACCACAAACCAGGAATTATGCACTAGATGAGCCAATTCGAGCAATCAGCCGGCAGTTCAACAACTTCTTTGGTGTGTTCGACTTCAATGTGTCAGCGGACGTGTTTCGTCATCGGTTACTTGGCCTTTTTTGTACCGTTGACCGTTACTAATTAGTTTAAGTTTTATTAATTTAGACACTAACTGTCATAATTCAAATTATTAATAATAATTTCCGTTTTTCTTCCCTTCCTAACTAGACCGCGACGTCAGCGACGTTGCCGTGGAGTCCATCAACAAGTACTTGAAGTCTAGTCAGAACGAAGATCGCCTCCGGCAGATTGTCAGCCAGGAAGCGGCCGCCGATGGTACGGCCCTGAGCCACGAGGAACTGGCCGCCATCAAGAAGAAGAAACGACTGCTCACGCAAGGAACGGACCTGTTCAATCAACGACCGGAGAAAGGTATCCTTTTCCTGCAGGAGAATGCCATTCTCAGTAGCACGTTGGATCCGCTGGAGATTGCCCACTTTCTGCGGGAAAACTCCGGACTGGATAAGAAGATGATCGGTGAGTATATCAGCAAGAAGAAGAACGTCGAGAGCAAAATCCTGGAAGTGTTTGTGAAATCGTTCGACTTTGCTGGGTTGACGATCGATCAGGCACTTCGGTTGTATCTGGAAACGTTCAGACTGCCCGGTGAGGCTCCGCTGATTTTCCTGGTGATGGAACACTTTGCCGATCATTGGCATGTAAGTACGATAAAACGTTTGCCGTTCGATGCAACCTAGGTGTGTGTAATTGATCGATCTTTGAACTTTCGCAACAGACATGCAACAACGAACCATTCGCGAATACGGATGCCGCTTTCCGGTTGGCTTACGCGGTCATCATGCTGAACATGGACCAGCACAATCACAATGCGAAGCGTTTGAATGTCCCGATGACGGTGGAGGAGTTTGTCAAGAATCTGAGAGGACTGAACGGTAACTCCGACTTCGATCAGGATATGCTGGCCAACGTTTACCATGCGATCAAGTAAGTATGGCCGCGGCATAGATCCGATTCGGTGAAATTCAATCAACAATTATTCTCCCCGTAGGAACGAGGAAATCGTAATGCCAGCGGAACAGACCGGCCTCCTGCGGGAGAACTACCTGTGGAAGGTCCTGCTGCGTCGTGGAACAACCAAGGACGGCATGTTCCATCACGTGTTCGGTCCCAATCACGATCGTGAACTGTTCCGGATCATTCAGGGATCGACACTGGCTGCGCTCAGTTTCATCTTCGATAAGAGCCCGGACAACACCCAACTGTACCAGAAGTCCATGAATGGATTCATCAAGTCGGCCGTTGTCGCGTCACACTACAGCTTGCATGGCGACTTTGATGCTCTGGTTTTGACGTTGTGCAAATTTACCAGCCTGCTGAATCCTCCGGCCGATGTGCACGAAATCACGGCCAATGTGATGTTTGGTCAGAACTCGAAAGCGCAGCTTGCTATGAAGACAGTATTTGCGTTGATTCACGACCACGGCGACTGCATGCGGGAAGGCTGGAAGCACATTGTCGATGTGGTGTTACAGCTGTTCCGGTTGAAGCTACTGCCGAAGGGTTTGATGGAAGCGGAAGACTTTTGCGAACCTAGCGGAAAGGTTACTCTGATGCGTGAACAGTATCAACTACCGAAGACGGACGCCGGTCTACTGAGTAGTTTGTATTCGTACTTGAGCAATGATAGCCAGCGGCAACCATCGTACGAGGAGCAGGAGATCATCAAGATATCTAAACGTTGCATCAAAGAATGTCAAATCGATCAGATTGTGAATGAATCCAAGTTCTTGCAGTTTGAATCTCTGGTAGAGCTGGTCAACTGCCTACTCGGAATGATCAAACCACCCGAGAGCTACAAATCCGTAGGGCTACCATATGCAGAGAATACCGTAGTGTTCCTAATGGAGCTGCTCGTCAAGATCCTCATACAGAACAGAGATCGTCTGCTTCCGGCTTGGAAAAGCTGTCAGGATCAGCTATATCTACTGCTATCCGGGTCAGCTTCATGCGATTACACCTACCTGCTGCAAAGAACTACCATTGCCCTGTTGAAATTGGCCATCTATCTGATGCGTAATGAAGAAATCTGCTCCACGATTCTCCAGAGTCTTCGGATGCTACTGATGCTCAAGCCGGCAGTCATCCTTTCGATTTCCAAACCCATTTCGATCGGTATGTACGAACTGCTGAAAACCAGTGCTCAGAACATTCACACCGAAGCCGATTGGATTATCGTGTTCACGATACTGGAATGCGTCGGAGCGGGCGCTGTGCCTCCGGAGTACGAAGAAGCGCCAGTTGTCTCGGGAGCCAAATCCGATGGGGCTCTCAGTAGCGAGGAAGATTCCGGACTACCGGATCGTGGCTACATCTCCGACTCGGAGCTGAACGTCGTCAAGAGTGGACATTCGTCAAATTCCTGCACACCGCTGATCAGTCCCACTGGAGACAATTGGATCCTGGTGAATAAGGATGCCGACATTGTATCGTCGCGGTCGTCCTCTCCAAAGCACACCATCCAATACCGATGTAAACTGCTGGAGCATTCGCCTTTCGCGCTGGTCAAATGCTGGGAGAGTCTGGCGTTCATCGTTCGAAACGTATCCCACATAACTCCGTACAACTTCGAGAGTTGCGTTCGCTGTATTCGAACTTTCGTGGAAGCCTCGATGAACGACGGAAAGGAGAACCGACGCCGGCAGCGACGGAATGGAGATGAAGGTGGTAAGAATTCCCGCAACCGTAATCGCAAAAACGACAGCAGTGATAGCGACTCGGAAGAACTGCCCGAAGCGTACCAGTCGATATCGATTCAGTTGCTGGATTTGATGCATACGTTGCACACGAGGACGGCAAAGATCTTCCGCTGGTGGGCCGAAGAAGGGGGTGCTCTGCCGCAGTGTTCCGCTTTGTGGTCCCAAGGGTGGTGTCCACTGTTGCAGGGCATTGCCCGATTGGCCACCGATCAACGAAGACAGGTACGTTGCTGGATGGATGCCTTCGGGAAGTAGTTTGTCTCACTTTGCTGGTCTGTTACAGGTCAGGACGAGTGCTATAACTTGCCTGCAACGATCGCTACTGGTGCAGGACCTGCAAACCCTCACCGGCTTGGAGTGGGCTGGGTGCTTCAAACAGGTAACTTATTTCGTTGAATGGAAACGTGAAGATTTTGAGCTAATGTGTTGTTCTTTTCTTTCAATCGCACAGGTGCTCTTCCCGCTCCTCTCGGAGCTACTGGCAGAAAAGCCCATCAAACCGGCCGAAGCCGGTTTGCTGGAAGAATCGCGCATGCGAACGGCAACCATCATGTCCAAGGTGTTCCTGCATCACCTGACGCCGCTGATTGCCCTGCCCGGGTTCAACGAGCTGTGGCTGGAAATACTGGACTACTTCGAGCGGTTCATGAAGATCGGTTCGGACATGCTGTACGAAGCGGTGTTGGAGAGCCTGAAGAACATGCTGCTGGTGATGCATTCGGTAAGTTGACATATGTTCTTTGTTTGAATTGTTGTCTGCAAATAAATAACTTCTGAAGACAGTTTCCTCGGAGTGACACTGGAAACATTTGTCTACAAACATTTTGGTTTTTGTCTTCAGTGGAGGAAATTAAGAGTCAATGAATCATCAGTTGGGTTAATGAAACGTATGGTTCTCCCTAGTTTTCCGAGATGTGCAGTGCATTATTCAGGGACGTAGTGAGGGGGTGGTGAAAACAACCCACGCCGATGCATTTTTTTAAATCTCATAAAGATGCAAACTTTCGAGAAAATCGATTAAGAATTTGAATTCTTTTTTTGCTATTTTCCAGGAACTGCTTACTCTATTTAGAAACCTAGGCTGTTTCTAACCAAACTGATTAATGAGCTTTTCAAAACTTACCTTATTCATCAGGTCTCCAAGATCCCAAGATCGTCGTAGCATATCTGAAATAACAAATCATACAAAATCTTATTGAACTTTTCACAGGTATGCATATTTCACAACAGTGACGGAGTGACACATTCAGTTCTGTGGGACGTGACATGGCAACGAATTTCCGGTTTCCTACCCAACCTGAAGGACGAACTGTTCAAACCCGACGGTAACAAAAATCAGATTCTTTGAAATTTCAGTTTACAATAACAAATCCTTCTTTCCAGCCCATACACCTCAAGTCAATGCGGTCGCTCCACCACAATCTCCAGTCCCAGCATCTCCCGAGCCGGCTCCAGTCCTTCAACCGCAACCAAGTATTATTCTACATCCTTCACCGGTGCCACCAACGACCGGATCACCAATCGTAGACCAAGCTCGGCTTCCGATGGCAATGTCCACTAACCTTCTGATGAGCAATACCGTCAATCCAGCTCCACAAATACCCCTTCAAACACCGATTCTGGTACCCCAGGCGGATCCTGCCCCGTCACCACCGACAGTTCCATCCCAACAATCCAGTCAGGAGAACAGTCCACTGAACAAGAACCGCTACTCGAACATCATCGAACTACCGGTTACTCCGTCGCCCCCGCCCTGTCCAATGGAACAGCAGCTAAATCTTCCCGCTGCCGAACCGGAAGCGACGAAGCCAATCATCACGGAACATGCGACTGTTCCACTGAGTCATCTCATGGCCGGTAATCAGTATCCATCGTTGCACAACGTCCCCGTCGGAATTGCCCAAAGCTTCGCTCCGATGTTTGTCCAACCAACCTCGGCGCCCGCCGACGGAACCGACATCTACAATGACTACGTCAACGATCCCTACAATCTGACCCTGCAAATCGATCAAACGGCAAACCCGGCAGCTGGCGTTGGCCAACAGCCTCAGCTCCAGGAATCCCAGCAGCACCAGCAGCAACCGCAGAATGTGTTCCAATCGGCCAACTACTTTGGCTCGTTCCAATTTGGCCCCGGTCGGATACCACCAGGTTCGGAAATGTTGTTTGGTGAACCCTAGAGAGCCTGTATTGGGATAGAAGGAAGAGCTGGTCTCTGCCTGCTACCGCTGATCCCAACCCAACTCTACTGACAGAGCATTGAAGAGCCACGGCCACGAAGTCTCTAATCTGGCGATTTATTCTCTTCTCTTCCCTTCTCTCTTTCGTACATTCCGTACCCAAAAAAAAACATGCTTGCACTGGACCGACCTGCGGGTGATGATTTTGATTCTTTCCAGACTCACCTAGCATCATCAGAACGGAAACGGACAATGAATACTAAAAAAAAAACTAGGGCAGAAACGAGGCAGTCTGATCATATAGCGAGCGAAATAAATCAAATGTTGGCCACTAGGGTTGGACAAAATCAATTATTTTTAATGTGAAAGTTACGGACGGATAGTGAAATAAAGCTTTGCCTAGCAAAATAAGTCCCAACATTTGACAATGTTCAACAAATACACACCCACACCCACATGCATAATAGTATAACAAATACGATACACGTACAGTTACGCCGTTAGCTAAGCAAAATGATAGAAATTTTTAAATCTGTCTGCATTTTCTGTTTTTGGGTGAAAAACAAAGTCGATGTTCAATAATGTAATGTATTCTTTTGAAACTGTTGATAACTATTATGGTAGACTTCCACCAACACAACTAACCGCAAACATTAATGAAAGTACTGTGAAAAGTTTAACAATGTAGTTAACTACCCTTACTACACACTGATAGAACGAGGGATCGAGCGAAAGGAATTTCTTTTCTGTTGAAAAAATGTTTTTTAAAGAATTTCCAATTCAGTAATGTCGTTTATTATTATCTACTAAATATAATTATTATTTTATTCAAAACCAGGAAGAAAGAGTTTAAATATACACACGTAAACAGAAAAAAAAAATAGTGAAAGGGTAAATATATATATAGCTACAAACACTTACCAGAGATCACGAGTTTTGAGCTTCCTTCCGAAAAACATCCAGCACCTGTTCCGGCGTCCGGCAGCCTTTCTCGAGGACGATGGTCTTTTGGCGCGATTTGGACCCCCGGTCCAGCGAAACGTCACTTTTGCGTAGCTCCAGCAGTTTGGAAAGGTACTTGACCAGTTCGGTGTTGGCTTCCCCGTCGATGGGGGGAGCAGCTGGAAGGGAAAGCAACGAAATTCAGACGTCAGACGGCTTCTAATATAAATAGGGTAACCATCGGGGAAAATATACTGCGTGCTCTTTTCGAAAACATATGATTTTGAACCTTGAAAATATTGCAAGACCCTTGGACTGGACTGAATTTTCAGGATGCGGTCAATTTGAAGAACTTTTAAGATAATGTTAGACACAAATTCTCCAAAGCAATTTTCAGCAGATTCTAGAATTAATGCTAGAGATGACATTTAGGTATTCCAAAGAAAATTCCGTAAGCGAGTTTTGAGAAGTACTCTAAGAGAGTTTTGACTAGAACTACAAGTCAATTGTTTCAGAGTTAAAATTTTAAATAGCTCTGTGGAAAATTAAATCACGATTGTTAAGTGGATTCTAGGATCCGTGGAAAATTCGGAGGATACAATGAATATATTATTCGAGATTCCTTCCACTCGAAACTTGTTATGGAGCAATATTTTGAGATTTTCTCTTCTAGAACTTCGAGAAAACAGGATTTTATTTATGACAGGCACAAACAATTCGAAATTTGTTACATCAAAATCACCGGTAGAAGAATGTCCTAAATCTGCTCCACTATATGTGTTTGGGTATTAGCGAACTGTACTTTTGCGAATTTAAAGCTTGGACTGCCTTTCGGGGGGGAGGTAGCTCATCGATTCTTCCGGTTCGCCTCCTAGCATCGTGCTATAAGGTACCAGGCGATAACCAGGGTAGTTGATCGATAGCTCGATGACGTCATTTCGTTGGCGTCTGCTATGGGAAATTCTCATAGCAGGCGTTGACGATGGGACGTTGTCGAGTTGTTGAATAGCAACTATCGTGCTAACTCACCGATTACCTGTCGATCTGCCAAATTTGGAAAGACGTCTGCATTGAATTGTCTCATATAATAATATTCCGCCCACTATATCACACGAAATTGCGAGTAGTTGAGTGGAATGGAGATAAGTTAAGCATTGGGTACAGGACCAAGTCTCCCCTGGGTGGTGCCAGAAGATGAGCGCAATAGAATCATCAAGTTGCCATAAGGCACGGAATGAGACTATTGCATGGCTGGGTAGTCAAAGTCTTCCATTCGTTAGTCATTTCAGGTGGATTAGAACAGGTTTAGGTTTAGGGTGGGCGTTGGCCAGATTTGGATTTTTCAGATATAATCCTAAATAGGACCTAGATTATTTAATACACTAGTAACCTCAACTTCTGTCACAATGTTTCATTGTGACTAATCAACACTCAATGGGTAAAATATCAAATTTGCGGTAAATTTGAAAAAAAGGGAACTTGGAGTGTAGAGTGCACTGCCCACTGGACGATTCTGAAGCCTGACCAAGTGAGTGGGTTACGGGTTTATTTGATTGTACGTCATTTCCAAGTTATATATAGATACATTCATACCATTGGCATTTTGTATTTGAGATAAGACAGAGACAGGATGCGGAGGGCCCGCTTAGGGGGAGCGTAACCCATGTTATGGCTTCCATTTATTAAATAGTTCAGATAGGCTGGAAATGATAGGTTCATGGTGAGAAAATGTACCATATGGTGCCCGTTCACTGATCAAAATTAGATTCAAATCGTCAGGCCCTGCCCTGGAATAAGGGAATTGACGATGATTTGTCAAGTTTCATTTTGCATTTGCATATAATTGTAAGTTTAGGTTTGCTTTTGTAATTGTAAGATAGATAGTTTGCCTCAATTGAAACATTCTATACAACTTGACGAATCATACCTCTAAAATAGTAGTAGTTACAGTGCCGCATTATCTAACTTTTGTTTTGTTTGTTTACATATAACTAATACTAATACCTCCTTGTTTTCTCTCTAATTTGTCTACTATGTCCCACCATCACAATGAGAGATGAGCTACCGTACATGGTACACGCTCATATACACTCCCAAAATAGTATGCCGCAAGTAAGTATGTATATCACAGAGGCAACTAAAGATCCAGAAACAAAAACCGAAAACGCTTTACGGCAGATTGGTTTACAGTGGTCGACCAGGGTGTGTGCGGATAAATTACAAAATTACAATTAGGGTAGATGTACCAGTTGTGGCTGTGCGTTCCTGTTGTGGTGTGTTCCAATCATGGCCTATGGAAATCCTATATGCCATGATTGGAACACATCATAATAGGAGCGTATAGCCATAGCTGGTACATCTACCCTACATCATTATTCCATACATCAGCTTGAATTACGTTGATCGATATTACATTTTTTTTGCTGTGCACTACACCACCGGAGCCAGCAAAGTTCAACAATCCATCGTTGCTTATGCCTTTGTTGTCGTTTGGAACCAGTTTTGCGAGGTAGGTGACGATTGTGCGTATTTCTCGCGTAAATTTTGAAAAGGGCCTAGCCTGAACAATACGTAAAGAGCAAATTGAAACATTGTACGTCGCGTGAATGTGGAACTTAATGAAGGCCTAAGTACTTTTTCGTAGTTTTTAGTTTTCGGATTTGAAAGATCGTCGGTTACAGTGGCCTGCTTACTGAGCAGAAAAACGCGGTCCCAGGTTCTTACATATCAAAGAGATGTATAGTAAAATCGCTTGTGTATCGTGTATTTTGCGAAACTCGTTGTTGTCGTTGGTTCCGGGTTTGAATGGATACAAAAATTTGAGCAACGGTATTATGTGATATGAGGGGCTCGGTGGCCTTAGAGCAACCGTTTTTGCTTACTGAGCAGAACATCATGAGTCTAATCTCAGGCCCATCCACAATCAAGATTCGTCAATCGTTTTATTTGTTAATATGACTACATGGTAATAACAGCAACTCGGTGATTAAAAAGGTGCTCGTCTGCCTAGTGGCAAACGTTTTTGCTTACTGAGCAGAAGACCGTGGGTTTAGTCCCAAGCTCCTTCGCGTTATATGATCGTTAGGACATTAATTCAGCTTATCGTTTACCAAAACGAACCCTGCTGCAAACCCAACCCTCTTATCCAACATCCCAGTGATTCCTCGTGGAAGTGCAGAGGTGTTCCATCAAAGCGAGTGTCATGTCAACACAATCCTTCCCATTCCTTTCTTGACCTGTGTTCGGGCGCGGCCGGCGCTGGTATTGCCTAATTCAAGATCACCAGTTTTTACACATTGAGGATGATTGCTAGTCCCAAGCATCGTCTATTGGTTCTCTGTGTAATTACAGCTGATCTGGCAATAACAGAGTAGCAACCGTGGGCGGTCAATCAAGCTCAAGCAAGCTCAAGCAAGCTTAAAGCTTGGACTGCCTTTCGGAAATCGAAAATATACTTATTTTTTTTACTACGATTTCAAAACACGTTTATTATTCTGGACGAATGAAACAAAACTAAACTCACTTGACATTTCAAATTCTTTTTTCCGGAAATAGAAAATTGGTTCAACCCGAAGGTAAAAATACGGCGCTCGCAAAGTCGGGGGTGCTTCAATACTGGAACATCCTCCCCGCCTTGAAGCCACAAGTGGCTTCAATCAGACGGCAGCACACCTTATGGATCGGTCGTTGGTACACAGTTGAGCCACGGCGCAAGGTCACCACCCGAACCACTCCTGATGCGTCTGGATGAATCATTTCCACTCTGGCTAATTCCCACTGTGCTGGTGGTGCGTTATCGTTTTTGACTAGCACTAATTCACCCACGTTGATATTTGGTTGAGCAGTACGCCACTTACTACGCAGTTGCAAGCTTGCTAAGTATTCGTTCTTCCATCTGTTCCAAATATTCACGGTATGCCTCTGCACTTCTTGCCACCGATCTAGGCGGTTAGACGTTAGATGCTTCATGTTGGGTTCTGGAACCAGGTTCATAGGCTGCCCGATCAAAAAATGACCAGGTGTCAGTGCCTCGGCGCAGTCAGGGTCACTGGACAAGGGGCACAAAGGCCGCGAGTTGAGGCATGATTCAATCTGGCACATCACTGTAGACACATCCTCAAACGTAATTGCTCCTTCTCCCAACTCTGCCACCAGATGCTTCTTGACACTGCGTACCGCAGCCTCCCAAATACCGCCCATGTGCGGCGCCGATGAGGGGTTTAAGACCCACTTGATTCCCAAATTAGAAAGATAACGGCTGGCATCCTTACTGTTTGACATAATCTGTTCGATGAATTGCTGCAGTATACGATCGGCGCCAATGAAATTGGTGCCATTGTCCGATCGAATTTCGATAGAGTAACCACACCGGGATATGAATCTCTTCAGAGACCCAAGGAACGTGTTCGACGAGAGATCGCTTGCTACCTCGAGATGAACTGCTCGAGTTGAGAGGCACACAAACACCACAATGTACCCCTTGGTGATCTTAATTCCTCGTATGCATGTTGCCTTCAGTTTCAAAGGACCGGCATAGTCTATGCCGACATGTGAAAAGGCTCTTGTGGCTAGCACTCTTGCCGGTGGAAGGGTTCCCATGAGTTGACCAGCAGTCTTGCCTTTGAGTCGCACACATCGCATACATCCCTGCACTACTTTCCGAACTACCGTCTGGCAGCCAACTATCCAATACTGTTGACGGACAATTGCGGTCAGAAGAGACGATCCTGCGTGAAGGTTGCGCAAATGCAGATCGCGAACTAGTAGCTCCGTAACTCGATGATTTTGTAGAAGGATTATTGGATGTTTTATTTCGTATGGCTGGGCCGAATTATGTAGACGGCCGCCCACACGCAAGGTTCCCTCTGAATCCAAAAAGGGATGCAATGCCGAAAGGATATGCTTAGGTTGGAGACACTTACCCTTGCGCAGCAAATCTAACTCTTGGCCGTATACCTCGTGCTGCACAGCTTGCAACAGATATATCTTAGCTTGATATAGCTCGTCCAAAGTCAGCTCTCCAATGTGTCGCTCGCTGGTGCCTTGCTTGAGTACGACGGATTTGAAGTTGTAGATCACACGGTACACGCATGCCAAGGAACGAACCAAAAGTGAAAAGCTGGAACAATTAACGATTAGCTGCTTTTCAACCTCATAGTTGATTATTTTCGTCGTCAGT